GTAACTATACACAATGCTGGCGATGGTACGAGTTGGCGGTAAGTGAAACAAAAGTGCTAGAGAAGAAGCTTTTTTTTTTTAATTTTTCTTAAAATTACAAAAAATCAAAATTAAGAAAGAAAAAATCCATCTGCCATCTCACATTAACACTACGAAATGTGATTTGACTTGTTGTCCCCACCCACCTCCTTCCCCCTTCTCCCCCTTTTATTTTCAATGCTGTTGAGTAATGCCGCCTGGACTTTGGATGTACATATCGTTTTGTAGCAGTCTGAGCTGTTTGATTACTGACTTCATGGTGATTTCCCCTTGCACATCTTACTCAGAGTTACTGAACTCCAGTTTGGCTGGTTTTTATTAATGCACCCATTTCCTCTACTCTCTCTTCTGCCCCTTCTTTCTGCTGCTCTCTCTTCCTGAGACCTGTTTGTAGCTGTTACTGTTTGTTTTCTCTCTTTCTCTCTCTCTCTCTTTCCCCCTCCCCAATTTATTTCTTTACTCGGTTAAATGCAGCTGTTGGTCTCTTTGCTGACTGGTGGTTTCTGATCGGTTCTGGCAATTTTTCCTTTAAGTGCTTGTGTTGCACTTTGCTGTAGCAGCTAATTTCAGGCACTCGCTCCATCTTAATGATTGTCTGTGAGACCCTATCTCCTCCCTCCTCCCCTCCCCACCCTCTGAATCAATTGTGGTTTTTTTTTCTTTCTTTCTTTTATCTGTGTGTGTTTAACTGCATGCTCTCAGTCTCATCATTGTTGTTTCCCATTCTTTCTTCTTAAATGTGTAATGTTTCTATTGTTTTGGGCCTGAAATGAGAGTAAATGTAGCTCCAGACTCCCCACCCTGCGTATACTCACCATCCATAAGTCTCAAGGGCCCGAGGCAGCTTTTATTTTTATACCAGTACTTTTTTCTTCTTCACCCTGGCCTCAGTTCCCGTTTGGTATTGGTTTTGATAAATTATTGATGTTGTATAAAGACCTCACCCTCCTTGCAAGAACTTTGAGGCTGTCTGACACGGGGCTGCAGTAACTTGGCTTCCAAACTGGTTCATCTTTTCTTTATCAGCACCATCTCTGTGGTAACACTCCACTTGCTTGAGCAATCAACCCGCTTGGAACTATGCAGAGCTCTGTAAAGAGGGTGGAGGGCACAATAAAACAAACAAAAAAAAAGACCCAGGTCTACTCCATCTATTTCTTCTTTTTGCTCCATGACAAGGAAAAGATAATTTGGAAAAACATTTGAAAATGATGGGGAGGAAAACGGTGAATGTAGACCATCCAAATGCTTGGTACCATTCCAGAAATCTCAAGCCTTGGGAGTTCAAATCTGAAGCTGATGGACTTCAGGCTACCTTTTTCTATCTAAAAAGTATGCCTACCGTTAACCTGCTGGGCCCCAATCCCAACGATGAGCTTGAGAAACAAGTCAGCTTGTGCATCACCTGGTTCAGTTCCCCTGCCCTGGGCTGCAGAAATTATCGCTGCCTCTCGAACAGAACCTGGACAAAACTTCCAAAGTTTTGCCCTGTCAATTAATAAGCAGGTGCCAAGGGGTGGCAGGGCGTTGGAGAATCTGCACTTTACTCTCGTTGGCCTTTTGTCTAATGCATAATTTTAAAGTGCCATGTTTAGCTGTAACTTATAATTAAATGGCAACTGTTAAAAGTAATTTAAAGATTGCATTCTTATAAAGTTAGTTGTTTAATTTTTTTTGCTCTGAGAAGTATAGTCTGTGTGTGTGTGGTATCTGAGAGTTTTCCACCGTTTTCCCTAACATCCTTTGCTTCCTTCCCTCTCCTCCCCCTCCCCTTTCTTACTTTTAGGTTAACAACGCCACTGCACGAGTAATGACCAATAAGAAGATGGTCACACCTTACGCAAATGGTAAGAGAGACCGTGCTAATGATGACCTGGAAGGTTTGAAGAAAGACAAAAGGGAAAAGTCATGACCTCTCTTCAGGACCAAAAAACACCCCAAAAGAAATCAACCCCACAAACCCTAATTTATAGCATTATTCTTCAGTATAATTCCTAAGCGTAAAATACCATTTTACAGATGGAGAAGTGAGGACAGAAAGGTGTAGTGACATGCCCAGTGTGGCCAAGCTGGGTAAAGAAGCCAAAGACTGATGGGTTGCCTGCCACTGCTGCAAGCTGATGCTGTACAGTGGGATGTACTGTACTCGTGGGTCTCTGTGACATCATGCAGATACCTAAATATGAATCCAAAAACAGAACTTAAGATATATAATTGAATATATCTCAGTTTAGGTTCCAACTGTGAGAGTACAGCTGTCCCCAAGCAGCCGGGAAAACAGAGGCATTGCACTGCTTGTTCGCTTACTTTTTGTTACAGACTGTGCCTGTGTTCAGTCATTTTCCAGTGA